GCATGCCTGCCTGGACCCACTCCCACTCAAAGTTGAAGATACACTGCCAGAGGCTGCAACTCATGCTGGTAGCTCAGGGACAGGAAGAAACCCCCACCAAAAAAACAAACAAACAAAAAACAAAACAAAAAAAACCTGACTGCTGACCTGCATTTGGAGTTGCTGGTTCTCACTGAAGGGTGTAGTTGGGCTGGGACTTCAGCTTCAGAGATAGGTGAAGAACGGATGAGGGGAAGAATACAGGAAATTGTTATCTGGGACATAGGCCACTGCAATAGGTTGGGAAATCTTGGAGTCCTCAATCCAGTAGTTTAGGATAGTTGATAAAAACAACAAAATTTGTTTACAAGTATCCTTGTCTCTATGGGCCCATGGAACCCATGACAAAAGACCTTTTCCGAGCCCCCCCTCTCCTTGGGAAAGGTGGTGGGGTGCAGAATCCAAACTCTGTCTAGGTTAAGTACAGTTGTTAATCCCAACTGAAGCAAACTCACCAAATCAGGAGGATTTATATGTTATTCAGTGCCATTTTTTGAATGGGTCTGTTTTACTCTAGTCTGGACTAGTGACTGTACATAGCACTCTGAGTAACACTGCGTTCAGGTGAATCAACAATTTTCCAACAGAGTCCAGAGCTGTGAGAAAAAAGAGATACTTTCCCTTTTTCTGCAGAAGGAGAAAACCCAGAGAATTCCCCTCATCCATCTGATTTCAGATGTATGTTTAATATGTGATAAATCATCATGACTCAACTGTGCTATGATTCAGACACTCAAAGGGAGGGAGGAAACAGAAATGAAATAGACAAGGTATTTTGTAGCAAAGATTCTGATCACTCCGACATCTTTTCTGATGAAAGAGCACTGAGTTCAGTGTTAAAATGCCCCACATTGTATAGAGGGAGCCACGGAGAGCCAACAGAGATCAATAAAATGCTCTGAAATTGAGAGGTTAAGGAAAGTGTCTGTACTTCAGTTTTATGATTTTCACTGGTATGAAAGAGAACCAGTTCTGGTATCTCTAGCTGTTAATTCCTAAGAAAGGAGGAGCAGGACCATGGCACAATATTTCTGTTTCTTTCACAGATGAAAATACAGCTGAACTAGTAAGACATCACAAGTTCTGTGAATTTTCAACAATTTTTTTGATCCAATCCATGAAGCAAAAAAACTATGAAGTTTTGCAGCTCACCACAGACATTTACAGAAGGACCTGGACCTTGGCACTGGCTCTATTTCTCCTGTGCAAGTTCTTCTCTGAGTACCAGGGGATTCAGGAAAAAGTTGTGACCAACTGAAGCTGTGGCTTGGAAAAATGGCAAATCAAGAACCAGGACCACATAACTCATCTAAAGGAAGGAAAGTTTTTGCATCAAGAACTTTGCTCGGTTCTTAGAAGTGTGCAGTGGCTCCAAAAGAGTTTAGTTAGATCAGATATAGCTTCAGCAAATAGCTATTTTTCAGCTTTACTTTGGGATGTGACCAGAACAAAATGAAATAATACCTTCCACTTTCAACACAAATAGTGTTACTTTTCTGCCTACAGCTCTGCAAAAATGGGTAATGTTTATTTCCCTGGTAACATTTCACATACTTTGCAACTCATTGGTACAGGTTGTTCTGCTTATCCTTAAAGAGGAAACCAATGAATATAATGCATTCAAAAAACTAATTTAATATAAGAATCTGAATATTCATTGAATATGAGAGAGAGAGAGAGAGAGAGAGAGAGAGAGAGAGAGAGAGATGATATTGACAATGGACCAATGCAGTACTTCCACAGTTCTGCAGTAATGAGTTGTTGCAAATGAGAAAAGCCATCACATTAATGTCGAAAATTATTTGCTTTTTGTGTAATTGTGAAACAGATACTTTTCCATTACACTCTTACTCTAATAAATATTTCTCTGGAAATCATCTGAGCATAATTAGTTTATTAATATGACCATTTGTATAAATATACTCTTGTATAAAATAATTCTGTAGCAGATTACTATAAGTATAGTACCAATGATAGTACCAATTAAAGCCTCATTTAAAAAAACATTCAGCTGTAATGAAGACATTAAGGTATAGTGCTCGTCATCTACCTATTACTTTCCAAAATTTAGTATTCAGCACTATGCTGATTCTTTCTAGGCATATTCTGTTGCTTCTATTACAGTACAAGACAGCACAATAACCAGGAAGGCACACTACCTTTTTGCTCACTACCTTTGCCAGCTTCAAACCTTCCTTTGCTCCTGTATCTGTGTCTTCCAATGTGTTTTCTATACAGTGGTGCCTCGTATAACGAGTGCCTCGTATAACGAGGAATGCACATAACGATGGCTTTTTTGCGATCGCTTTTGCGATCGCATACCGATGTTGCCTATGGGGAAAAATTGCTTTGCGACGTTTTCCCCATAGGCACCATTTGACGGCTGAACAAGCGGGCGTTCGCTCAGGAGGAGGCAGGGGAATCTTCCCACCTCCTCCTGCCCGATCGCCGGCCTGTCAGCCGGCTGAAAACGCGGCGTTCGCTCGGGAGGAAGCGGGGGAATCTTCCCACCTCCTCCTGCCCAATCGCCAGCCTGTCAGCCGGCTGAAAACGCGGCGTTCGCTCGGGAGGAAGCGGGGGAATCTTCCCACCACCTCCTGCACGATCGCCGGCCTTCAGCCGGCTGAAAATGCGGCGTTCGCTCGGGAGGAAGAAGGGGAATCTTCTCACCTCCTCCTGCCCGATGGCCGGCCTGTCAGCCAGCTGAAAACGCGGTGTTCGCTCGGGAGGAGGTGGGAGGAGGTGCCATTACTCTAAGTGCTCAAGCTCTGTCAGGCTCCTTTGTTCAATTTGCAGGCAGATGGAACTACCCAAGGTGGACGAAAGCAGCCCAAGGAACATAGAAGGACAGTCCCAAGTACTGTGATATTTACCTAAATTAGCAATAGAGCACAGGTGTGAAGTTGCTAGCAAGTCTGCACGCCTGTTCCAAGCTCATCAATTGGACTAAGTTGCACCTAAATGTTGCATACTTCCTCCTTCCCCTCAGATATGCAGTGACAGAAAGTTGGCTCCACTACATCAGTAGACTTCAGGGCATGGATGGTAAAGATAAGGATTATGCCCACTGTCAGTTGTTCATTCAATAGCTTCACTGGTTTTCGGCTAATGTCCAGTTAAACCGATATAAAATGTTATTTTATTATATCATTATTTATTATATTATTTTTAAATTAATTTTATTTTATAATACAGAAAACACAAAAAAGAACATACGTAACAACAAAAATACAGAAAAAATACAAATAATAGTGCTTATTATAAACTAAATTCTAACGTGTACCCCATACCCACGGGACTCCATTTAATAATATTTTATTACCTCTCCAAAATTGTATTGAGCATTCTTTAAAGGCTTTCCCCCTTCCTTTCACTAACATAAATTCCACAAATTTACCCCAAATATCATAAAAATTGTTAGAACTTATTTCCCCTCTTTTTATTTTAAGTTCCATAGTCAATTTATCATTTAATGCAATGTCCCATACTTCACAATACCAGCCTTCTATTTTAATATCATTCTTGACTTTCCAAAATCTAGCTATTAATATTCTAGCACTTGTCATAAAATTGGTGATTAATTCTTTCGAATAATAGTCCAAATCCGTGTTATCAAAAATTGACAATAAAGCAATTTTAGCAATAAGATCAATATCTTTACCAAATATATCACAAATTTCCTTAAAAATTAGTTTCCTTTATTATATATTGACAAACAAGTGAGTCCTAGATGAGATCAAGCCTGAATTCTCTCTGAAGGCAAAAATGCTGAAACTGAGGCTGTCCTACTTTGAGAAGGCAGGATTTCCTGGAAAAAGACAATAATGCTGGGAAAGGTGGAAGGCAGAAGGAAAAGAGGAAGACTAAATATGAGATGGACTAACTCCCTGAAAGAGACCATGGGCTTGAGTCTGCAAGAACTGAGCAGGACATTTTGTAGAGTGCTCTTTCATAGGGTTGTCATGAATTGGAGGCAACTTGATGGCACTTAACAAAAATAGCTGTTATCCACCTTGGAAATTGAGTAAATAAATGATTTCAAGTGGTTGAACACATGAATGAATGAAATGGGCCAAGAAATTAACACATTAATTGAACAAATGAACAGTCTTAACTGTAACAATCTTAATTTGCTACCATTATCAAATAACACTTCTGTATAACTCTTCTGTTTTAAATAAAAATGAAAAGACTTTTCTGAATGGTTGTTGTGGGTTTTTCAGGCTCTTTGGCCCTGTTCTGAAGGTTGTTCTTCCTGACGTTTCGCCAGTCTCTGTGGCCGGCATCTTCAGAGGACACCAGAGCACAGAGTGCTGTCCTCTGAAGATGCCGGCCACAGAGACTGGCAAAACGTTAGGAAGAACAACCTTCAGAACAGGGCCAAAGAGCCTGAAAAACCCACAACAACCATTAGATCCCGGCTGTGAAAGCCTTCGTGAATACTTTTCTGAATCTCAGAAAGCAAAAAATATATATAAATGAAACATTCCTAGGACATACATGAAAACTTTGTAATCTTTATGTTTTCTTATGATAAATTTTTGGTTTACTCTAGTTTACATTAGTTTATGCTTACATGTAGGTTTCTTTACTAAAAATGCACCCCTGAGGTCCAGCACTTGCTAGGGCTGCATGTGTGTGTTATGATTTCCATAACACACACATCACAAGATTAGAAAACAGCTGACATATTATTATTAGATACCTGGACTCCAGAATGATGTATGTTTTCCTGGGATGAGGCTCGGCTTCTGCGTTTTGGATGATGTGGCTGACAGTCAACCAACGTTGGGGCCCCTTTCACGTCTTCATCAGAGGTGTCCATATCAGCCGAGTACTGGGAATGATGCTGCTCATTCCATGAGGTGCCTTTTGGGAACAGAACACAAAAAGATAACTTAACATGCAGAGCAGTGTTTGTGGGTTTCAGAATTAATATCTTATGCTGTAGGACAACATGAAGCCGGAGGAATATTTTCCACATTACAAAAGCTCTAAATAGCATTCAAGGGTTCCTAGGAGATGTCATTTAAAAAGAAGGAACAAATCAAAATATGAAGAGATTTAAACCAAAAGGAATGGGACACCTTTGGAACCAGAGTTTTTGTTCCTTTTTCTCTTTTTCAATGCAGAATAAATAGGATTAATTTGATGATGTAACAAAGAACCATGATTGCTAAATGACTGTGAGAAGCAGCCAGATGTGGTCCTGATTCAGACTGGGACTATAAAGGCTGAAGCAGTGGGACATTAACTCTTTCCTGTTCCCCTTTCCCCATACTCCCATAACATGGCTACCTTTCTGAAAATTTTCACAACACTTTTACTGCAGATGTTCTTGATGGAACCTGGAGCCTCCAGGAGGCACTCTGTTTCCCTGCCCCCAATGAAATTTTCTTACCCTCCAAATATCTTTCATAAATCTCTCTCCCAAGCTGAAATGAACTGCCACTGCACTAGATAGTGGTTTGACACCTCACTCTCTCTACAATGCTCTCCACTATTCACAGGGCCACTGTAGCACAAATGGAAGCCTGCTGTCAACAGATCTGGAATTTTGTCTTAGTATTTTCTACAGAATTCAACTTTGATTTATAACTGATCTTTAAAATATAAAGGAACAAAATTATCTTCATATTAGCAGAACCTACTTACACATTAAGAATAGAATCTGAGGGTCTACAGATCTCTGCATCACACACTTTCCTGTTTTATCACCTTGCTGAGAGAATCAACATTAGGGAAAATACAGTTTCCAATAACCACATTTGCTAGCTATTTATAGTAGCTTTAATGCAATGAACCCTATGACACAGCAAAGACATTTGAGGGTAATTGGACTGAGATTCAGTATAAAAGAAACATCCACAGAAAATGGAATAATGACAAGTTCACCTAAAATGTGTACAACTATGAACTATGAAAAAAATAGGAACAAGTAGTATCCATGTCTTGCTGCATGACGTACTATATCTAGTCAATTGTTATAAGTCAATGTGACACCACTGAATGCTATGCAATAAGTACTTACATTCACCGTAATGCTAAGCTGGTGATCAAGCTGGATGTGTTCTGATAGTCTTACCGGAGGCTACAATTTTGGAACACTAGAGTCCCATTCACACATTAATTTCCCGCATGCTATTAGAATCACATAAGAGAGGATGAAGAAGGTTACTTCTGTCAATGCCGGGATGACTTTCTACATCAAGAAGCTGCTCTGCTACCTTGCACAATTTAAAAGCCTGGGAAGACCAGGTGGCACAGGCTCCCTGTTCAGTCCACTCAGGGACACCAGTGCATAGGGTGATGTGGAAAGAAAGAGCTCACATGCTGTTCCTTACCATCTCTTTACCACATGAGGGATTTACAGCACCATCACAGAACTATGAAAGAATGTACCAGAGATGAAGGCTTCTCAGACCTGGGGCCTGGTCATATAGTCAAAAAACCTGAGAATTGACCTGTGTTAAAACCAATGCTGAGTTTCATGTTCACACAATGATTTAAAATGTTATAGTCTTTTTTTTTTTTTTTGAGAAATGCAGACATGCTCTTGGTTGGAGAGCTGCTCTTTCTCAAGGAGAAATGCTTTGCTTCCTTTCCCAACTAACATGGACCAAGCCTTTTCTTTACTGAGAGAGGAAATTCAGTAGATTAATTTAAGCTCCTCCTATAACAAAATTACATTTCAGAGATCATTAGCTCATATAGTAACCAAATATCAGAAGTGACTTGATGGCATATAACATCTTCAGACAGTTTTTGAAAAAAAATGCTAAGATATTATATAGTGACAAGATGGGTGGAGTGGAGACTTTGAGAGGAGATTATGACAGGATATAGATGGAACAGCTCTGCTAACAACAAGTAAGACCATTAACAGACACAGAGCAAAATGAGAGGGTAATTTCAGAGCATAAATAAGTGATCTTATGAGTATTCGTTCTGTATTCTCTTCTAAAATATATTTATTCTCTGGTGGCAGTGAAAAAGGGTGAAAAGAACAAGTCGTGTCAAAAAATGAACCTGTGGGAGTGGGAAAACAATCAGGGGATTGTGGGGGTGCATGACAAAAGTGGCGGCAGAGCGATGGGATTCGAAATGAATGAACTCCAGTAAACCTAAGTAAAGAGAAATCTTCTGAGTCTGAGGGACCTGTTAGTCGAAGGCTGTGGAGAAGGAATAGGAAACCCTATAGCTCTTAGTGAATAGCTTGGAAGGGACTCCAGATCACAGACCTTTAGGAAAGGCTAAGGCAGGGAAAAGACTCTGAAGAGAATTCTGGGTTTAAAAGTTTACCTCATGCTTAGAAAGGAAGGACCAAGGGGCTAGGTTTAGATTCCAAAGCTCTGAGAAAAGGAAACACTGAGGAGACAAAAGTGGAAGCCAGGGTCAAGAGAAATAGCTGAGGTGACTGAAACTAACTGAAGCTTAAAGAAGATAAAATTTTCTGAAACAGCTGGGTGTCTGGAGGAAAAGAGAAACTGTGTCTCAGACACAGGAACAGTGCGACTAGGTGGCTAAAGAAATAAAATAGCCATCCGTAGCTGCCAACGGAGAGCTACAGTGTTTCAATCTCTCTAATGCAGAAAAGGAAATAATATTTTAAACTGAGGCTTGCCTGTCTGCCTCTGAAAAAAAAACAGCCAACTTCTCCAAAGAAACACATAGAAACATGCCTTCTAAGTGAGAGGAAACATTAGTTATGGAAGTATATGATGTGCACAATTTACCTCACAAAGAGGAGAGCTCTCTTGAAATGATAGAGCAGGAGGAGGCTCAGGAGGATGGAGCCTCAAGCAGTGAAATGGGGTTAACGTCCCACGAATTTCAAAGATGGAGGTTGCAGCAGGAATTTAAATTAAAAGAGTTAGAAACAAGGACTAGGGCTGAGGCTGAAGCCATACAAAAGGAGTTAGAAAGGGAAAGGGGAAAAGGAAGAGAAGAAGTAGAAAAGAGATAACTGGAAATGAGAGAAAAAGAAATGGAATATCAATTAGAAATGAAAAAATTAGAATTGGCCTTGCTAAACTGTAACAACAGTAATAATACAGCTGAGGGGATCTCAGAAGTGGAGATTAAGAAATTCCCTCAATTTAGAAAGGGTGATTGCCCAAAATCATTCTTGATCTTGTTTAAGCGAGTGTGCTGGGACTATAATGTGAGAGGAGAGGAGAAAATGGTCATTCTAAGATCGCTAATAAGTGGGAAACTAGCTGAGCTTTACTCTCAAATGCCACAAGATCAAACAAGAGAATATGAGGCATTCAGAAAACTGGTTTTCGCGAGATTTGGAATCAATGCTGAGCACCTCAGAAGGAAATTTAGAGCACTAACAAAAAAGCCTGAGGAATCATATTCTCATTTAGGAGCCAATCTAGTCAGATACTTGGAAAAATGGCTAGAACAAGCTAATGTTGAAACTTTAGATGGCGCCAGTGGTGGGCGGATAGTGTTTTTCGCCACCGCACTGGCTTTGTCTTTTCTGCCTTTTTAGTCTTTTTTATTTATTTTCCTGCTTTTGTCTTTATTACATATTTTTCCTGTTTTGCTTTTTATTCTTTGGTCTGCCCTCCTCCCTTACCTTGTCTGGTATTGGGTCTGGTTTTTGGGTCTGGACTGGTGCTGGTGTGGTGAGTGGGCATGTGTGCGTGTGAGCGAGCAAACACGAGGACTGGTGGCAAGTGGTGGGTGGTGAGACGGTGACTAGTGGATGGAGGCTAGATCTCAAATGTGGGCTTTTGGTGGCCGGTGGAGTTCGGAAGCCTCCGCCTAATTTGAGGAACATCGTTGGAGTGGGGGCTAGCAACCGATAAGACCAAAATAGAGCTTAGCCTCGCCTCGCCAAGAAGACGTGCCTAGAGTCCCCTGAAGCTGCGCCGGGCTCCCTGAAGTGCAGTGGGAGTCCTGAAGCGTGGGGGATGCTTGGCAAAGTGAACGGCAGATTCTCCGAGCCCCAGGAGTGAAAGAGACCAGAAGAGGCAGCTGGGAGAGTGAGAGCTATTCAGCAGGGATTCTAAAAGGCTTACCCTGGAGGCTGTCATGCTGGGAGCCTGGTTAGTATCATCTTTCCCTGGACCTCCTCCCCCCGCTTGCTCCCTTAGGGAAATTAATGGTGTCCTAACAGCTTCCCGAGGGAGGAAAATGGCTGTGAAAACCTCTCCTGCCACCTGGACCTTGCTGTTTTTGTTATCCTCTGCCGATCCCTGTTCCTTTATTGAGACCTCTGGGGCTTTGGGGACTTGTCCTGGATATAGGACTGACACTCTAGCACCACCAACATCAACAATATTTATAACATTAAGAACTTAAGAACATTAAGCCCAACAACATCTAAAAGAACAGTAACACCTAAAAGGACAAGATTTGATGGTGGAGGAGGTCAGACCAAGGTTACATGTGGGGGTTAAACTTTGTGGGTTTTTCTTTTAAATGATTTTTTTCTTTTTCTTTTTTCTTATTTATAATATGGTATTTGTTTTATGTATTTTCCATTTACAATTGTGATATTATTTAGAGTAATTCCTCTTTTTTACTTTTTCCTCTTTAAATTGATATGGAGTGGAAGGCCTGTCTACCCAGCGTGGGGCCTCTGAACATCCCGGTGATCATGGGTAGAAGGAGACATGGCGTTGGCACAGCCCCTACACGTGTCAGAAGAACAATGAACAGATGTTTGACGGCTGTTCATTGTTCTGAGACTGTCCAACCCTCAGTTTTGAGTTAGCCAGCCCAGCCAGCCCTCCACTCTAACTCTGCTGCTGTTCAATGCCAGGTCAGTGTCTGTCACGTTCCCGGGGGTTATAACAGCTGAAGTCCGATAAACCAGTCCAGGGTCAAGAATACCAAGAATTCAAAGCCAATGTCCATAAATCAACTCACAGATTGAAGTTCAGTGTCAAAGTCCAGAGTCCAATACACAGTGTAGTCCAGGGGCAGAGTCCAGAGTTCAGAGTCAGGAACACGGTCCAAGAATCGTGGATGCAAGCCAAGGTTTTGACTCTTTGCTTCAACAAAATTTCTGACTTCACTGGGAGCTGGTTTACAGTAAAACAGCTCCTTGAGCTGCTGGAAAGCTTTCTATCCTGTTAATACTCAGGACTAGATGCACGTAGGTTTCTGTGGACAGCCTTTGAGCGATCCTCTGATCTTCTTGTCCTAAGTCTTTCCCGAAGCCTGGCCCGAAGCTTGTCTGCTGTGGAAGGAGAATCTGGAGGCGGTTCAGGTGTTTCTAATCTCTCAGCATTCTCTTCAGCCTCAGTTAACCCTTCTGGTTCCAGGTCTTCGGATGCACTCATGACAGTGTCCAATAAGCCCCAAGTGATTCATGACCTTATCCTGGAGGAGGATGCAGACCTGGCATGCATAACCAAGACGTGGATTGGCAGAGAGGGGGGTCCTCCCCTGGATCTCATCTGTCTGCCCGGTTATGCTGTCCAGCACCAGGGTAGGCTAGAGGGGGGGGAGTAGCCATTGTTTACAAATCCAACTTGGAGGTTACTAGGCACTCCTCGGTGGTAAAGCCAGGTCTAGAGGCACTCCACATGTCAACTGGGGCCAGGGATGGGATTGGGATTTTGCTGGGTTACTGTGTTCTCTGTGACCCAGCCCCTTCCGGAGCTGGCTGACTTTGTCTCTGCAGCACTGTTGGTATCCCCGAGGCTCTTGGATGATTTCAACATGCATGTGGGGGCAGAGATTTCTGGGCCAGCTCTTGAGTTCCTAGAAACCATGGCTTCCTTGAACATGTCCCAACATGTCAACGGCTCCACCCACGTGGGTGGTCACACACTGGACCTGTTTTTTTCCACCAGTTGGAGTGAGTGTGGTCTGATGGTGACTGACCTTGAGTCAGTCCCCTTGTCATGGTCAGATCACCACCTAATAAAATGTAACCTCACAGTGGCACTCCCCCTAGCAGGGAGCAGGGATCTATTTCTATGGTCCGCCCTCGAAGGCTACTGAATCCTGTTGGATTCCAGGAGGCCATGAGAGGGATTACAGTGGACCTGGCTAGCGCTCCTGTCGATGCTCTGGTGGACAGATGGTCCACAGCTGCTACCAGGGCTATAGACATGATCATGCCTAAATGCCCTCTCCTCCATAGAGCTCGGCCAGTGCCCTGGTTTAACCAGGAACTTCAAGCGATGAAGCGAACAAGGAGAAGGCTAGAGCACAGGTGGAGGAAGACCCCGCCGAAACATAATTGGATAGCTATTAGGGTCGCGACTAACCTTTACCTGAATAAGGTAAAGGCTGCTTGTCAATTATTCTTCGCTAACCGGATAAGCAAAGCTTCAAATCAGCAGGTGGAGTTATTCCGTATAGTGTGCGACCTATCCGGAACTGGTCTGGGTGATAGGCCTCCCCCTAGTTTTTCACCTGACCAGTTTGCAGTCTTTATAAAATCTAAAGTGGAGGCCATCCACCGGGAGCTCTCTCCTCTTTTGAACACAGTGAGTCGAGCAGAGATGTCCAGTGCTCCGTCCTGCCTGGTAAACTTTCGACTTCAGCCTGTGACGCCTGACTCTGTGGACAAGGTGCTTGACCACTGTCGAGCCACCACTTCTTCCTTGGACCGTTGCCCGGCCTGGCTAATCAAAGCAGCCAGGCTGAAAACAACAGAATGGGCCACAGCAATAATAAATGGGTCATTAGAAAGTAACCTAATTTGGCGGGGGACGAAATTGGCAACTATAGGCACGTCACCAATGTTTCTTTCATGAGCAAAGTGGTCAAGAGGGTGGTCGCTGACCAGCTTCAGGCCCACTTGGAGGAAACAGATGCCTTGGACCCATTTCAGTCGGGCTTCAAGCCACGCCACGATACAGAGGCGGCATTGGTCGCCCTGTATGATGACTGCTGAGGGAGGCCGACAGGGGTAAAACATCTCTGTTGGTCCTTCTTGACATCTCGGCGGCCTTTGATACCGTCGACCATGGTACCCTCCTGGGGAGGCTCTCTGAGTTGGGAATAGGTGGCTTGGTGCTTGCCTGGCTCCATTTCTTCTTGGAGGACTGTCCCCAGAGAGTGCAGCTTGGGGAGAGTGTGTTGGCCCCACGGACTCTCAATTGTGGGGTTCCACAGGGGTCAATTATCTCCCCAATGCTGTTTAACATCTATATGAGGCCGCTGGGTGGAGTCATCAGGGGGTGTGGAGCATCATGTCATCAATATGCTGATGACACCCAGCTCTACATCTCCTTTTCACCAACTGCAGGTGATGCTGTCCTGTCCCTTCAGCGCTGCCTGGGGACCGTACTGCAATGAATGCGGGAAAATGGGCTGAGGCTGATGGAAGTTCTGAGGGTGGGGGGCCCCGTGGCTGGCAGCTTGGGTGACTCTCGCTTGTTCGGGGGGGTGAGCCTGGCTGGGAAGAATGGGGTCCACTACTTGGGCATACACTTGGACCCGATGCTCACCATGGAAACGCAGGTGGCGTCGGTAGTCTGCACCGCCTTCTTCCATCTTTGGCGGATTGTCCGGCTGCGGCCCTACCTCGACACGGCGGCGTTCACTACCTTAGTACATGCGTTTATAATCTCAAGATTAGACCACTGTAACGTGCTCTACGTGGGGCTGCCTTTGAAGCTGATGCGGAAACTTCAGGTGGTGCAGAATGCAGCAGCCAGACTCCTTACTGGAGTGAGAAAATACCAACATATCTCTCCTACTCTGGCCATGCTGCACTGGCTGCCCATCCGTTTCCACATTGACTTCAAAGTTTTAATGCTTACCTATAAGGCCCTAAACAGTTTAGGACCTCGATACCTGGCGGAACGCCTGCTCCCACCAAGATCTACCCGGATCACCCGCATGAGTCAGGAGGTGAGGCTGAGGAGCCTAACGCCGAGGGAGGCCCGGAAGGAAAAGACATGAAATCAGGCCTTCTCGGAGGTGGCTCCTTGTCTCTGGAATAACCTTCCTCCAGTGATTCATGCGGCCCCCATGCTGGGCACCTTTAAAAGACAACTTAAAACATGGATGTATACTCAGGCCTTCCCTCCTGTCTATACCTAACGTCCTTTATTCTTTCTTTCTTTCTTTTTTTTAGTACTGTATTTTGTTTGGATTGTTTATGTAAATTATCTGTGTTTTATTGTATACCTGTTCACTGGAAGCCGCCCAGAGTGGTCGAATAGACCAGATGGGCAGGATATAAATAAATAAATAAGTGAAATTAGACCCCAAAGATCAAGAAAAGACCACATTCTGCAGTCCTTTCAGATTATATGAATTCTGGGTCCTTCCATTTGGGTTGTGGAATTCTCTGGCAACATTCCAGATATTAATGGATCAAACATTACAAGGACTTAGAAATTTCACTGTAGCCTACATCGATGATATAGGGATCTATAGTTAGACGTGGACAGATCACCTATACCATATTGAAAAGGGGCGGATTCAAGAGAACTGGGGGAGACAGTCAGTTAGGTAGAAGACTGAAGTGTTTAGAAAAGAGATTGGAAAGTTGCTGTGTTAGAGACTATAAAAGATTTAAAAGTAATAAGAAATACATAGACATTCAGAATATTGAGACCTTGATTAAAGGGAATGAATACATGCAAGCATATATGTAAACAAATCCACGTTTATTGAATGAATAATAAAAGAATGTCAATGATTTTACTTCTGTGATTTACCTACCAAATCATAAATTAACCTTGTTATATCTGGCAGCAATAGTCTGAGATTCATATTTGGTATAGTGAGGATAATATCTTCCGGTGGCAGTGAAAAAGAGTGAAAAGAACAAGTTGTTTCCGAAAGTGGGAAAACATCAGAAGACGCTGGGGATGCGCAACAGATATATAAAAATTAGTTTTTGGAATATATTCCAGCAATTTCTTATCTTCTGGAGAAAATGGTTGTTTGCATCTGAACCGAGGGGTGGGGAAGGCTACTTATATTATTAAAAATTATAACTTTAAAATGTTTTGACAAACATCACCAAATTTGGCAAAGAGCAACATCAGACTGTCTACTCCTACTATGCCAGATTTGGTGCTGATTGTACTGCTTCTCTAGTCTTCTTCTTCTTTTCTTTCTTTCTTTCTTTTCCTTGGGTAACTGAAATATCTAATATCTGCATATGAAAGAGAGGTTTGTTGAATAACTGAAATTTGTTATAAGTCTTCACTTGTTTTGAGAATATATAAGTTAATGTTTCTTTGAGATGTCTGCAAAAATGATCTCCAATCAAATAAAAAAACCTACCGGCCATGGGACTTTTCGCCATGTTTTTAGGATGAGCGTTCACTGGAAGTTGAACTGTGGTGCTGAACTCTTGCGCTGGAGGGGACGTGAGCTGTCCCTGGTCTTGCAAGATGTGGTGAAACACAGCAGCTAGGTCTGCTTCAGCTATCATTGACTCCTTCCGTGAAGCTTCTTCCTCATCACCTGGGAGTTCTTCAAAGGTCTAAAAAGGGGAAATGTCTGTCAGCACCAGTAAGTTCCAAATATAGAAGTGGAGCTCTTTTCACTGGTAAAAGGTTTCTGTTTTATCCTAAGCTTTTCTAATTTCTATACTTCCTATACTTTGCTAATTAACTCACTTTGTTTTGTGATTGGTTGTCAGGAGTTAAACACAGGCTTCATTTTCAAGTCTGTTTGTGCAGGCGTAAAGACTCAGGAATATCTTTTCTGGAGGTCAAGGCTGTTGTTCAGGCTGCACACATTTAGCCATATTAAACCCTGTATTGTTTAGTATGCAACTAAACTAGCCAAAAATTAAAATGCTTGTTCTTAAAATTCAGTTTCACACTCTGAAGAGTAATCCTTCCTGATTTTGTGATATAGTTGTTCAGTTAAATACGTAATGTGTAATATAGTTGGAGAAACTGCTTGCAAAAAAACTAGTGTACAAAACACATAATACTATGGATTCAGAATGCACATACATTTTTGTGTGTATTTTTCTAAATATCACACAATAATGCATTCATAAAATAGGATGAACTTAAGCCTGAAATTTGAGAGACACCAACATTCAGTGGAGCTGAATCTGGACAAGACATATGATTCTTCACAGGCTCTTCCAGAGTTATAGCAGTAACTTGGCTTTGTCAAATGAAACAAAACTAACATAAGCCACAAATTTAATCTGTTCTGAAATCATTACAGGTAAGGAAAACATACCTTTCCTTTTTTTCCATAAATTGCTCTGATTGTTGGAATAGCTACTGACCATTAAGCAACACATAGCTAACTCATACGATAGGTGCTAACTTGCTTCTATTCTCTAATACAGCACAAATATATAACTTGACCCATCTGTGTACACTGAAAAATCCTGTGTTTGAGTTAACACTAGGAGATTGCCGTGCAACAGCTGATTCACACATTGCATAATATTAACAAGAGTGATGAACATGTAGACAAGGTAATCACATGACATCTTTCTGGCATCTTAAGGGTTTTTTTTAACTTGCTATCTTCCTTGCAGTTTGTAGTTTTTATTATTACATATCAGAGAGCCGACAAAAATCCTATGCTATCAATTGAGCTATCAAAATTCAAGAAACAGAGGAGAAAGGAGGAGAAGAGAATCTGGAGCAAAGGAAAACTCGAATGCACATCACCACCACCACCAACACCAGTATTTCCCAAATACCTGAAGGCCTTCATTCCCAAGCCCTGGAGTGAGCTGTACAGATTGACGGCGAGACTGAGCAGAATAGTCTGAGTCCATTTCAAAATCAAAAGGGTGGACAGACAGGAGTCGCTTTGTCCTTCGCATCTTAGAAAGTACAGATAGTACAGGAGGAAAAACCCAGACTTCATTAGAAATACAGTACATTTAAAGAGTACAGTTAAAGAGTTTCACAAGGTATCCAAGAAAACGGTGGCATTCCTCTTGCTGCTTCTCATGCAGCAGTGGATTTTCCATACATTTACTTCCTTGGCAATATGACTGAATTCAAAAGATGCTCCTGCTCGTCTTTCCAAAGAGCTATTATGGCAGTTGAGGGCTATTCTATGTACAGTAATACCGAAAGCAAGCAAACAAATTTGTGAAAATAATTCACTTTGTCTGAAAAGCATAGAAACAAATGGAAATAGTGATAAACAAAGTAAAATAATATTTATTAAAAAAATAACAGAGACTTCTGGAACTTTGAAGATTACAAAAAAAAATGTATTTCGTGTAAGAGGGATGCTTCTGTTGTCCCTGGTAGGCTGTTTGCCTCATCTGCTGGTCCTCCAGCGGACTGTCAAGAGACCCTGGCTGCAGAACGGCCCAAAGGCAAGGACACTAACCCACAGGGCATAGGTATGCTGCAAGAGATGGAGAAGCAATTGCCCCAAGAGGAGGGAGCAGGTATGGCCTGTTGAAAGGAGAGGGAAATAAATGAGGAGGAAGAGGATGTTGGTGAGGGATGGTTGGAAGCACTCATCTTCTGCACCCTGAGGGAAACAGAGGAGCCGTCCTCCTTCAATACTCATAGACTTGGGTGTGGACTGCCTTCATCCGGGGCCAGAACCTCGCGAGCTGGGCATTCTGCTCCACCACTTCAGAACTGGTTGGATAGCGGGGAAGATGCCAAACTACACCTCAAACAGACACCCAACACCAATGCAGAATGGTCCTGGAGGCATTGCTGCTAACACCAGATCCTTATGCAGTTGACCCAGGAGCAAGAAGAGCAGCTACTGCAGGAGGGCAAGCTGCCATATGGACATACTGGCTCTCACTGAGAAAAATCTCAGTCTTTGGAGTTAGTGACTCACACTCAGTTCCAGCATTGGATTCTAAGTAACTTGGATCCAGTGACCACAACTGGACTGCTATAAACTAGGGGACAGAGGGATGCACCGGCCAGCTTATTGGTGGAATAAAGTTTGTTATACCCAGTAACCAGCCTGGAGCCCATGGAGGAGGACCTATTTCAGCTGCCTCGTACTCTGAAGAGGGTGGCAGAGATCACAGGCATATGCTTTCATGGTCTCTAGCCCACTTCTTCAGATGCCTACAGAAGAAAAAGTGGGTTAAAGTTCACAAAAGGCGAACTTGTTTTTCCTTAAGGTGCCACAACACTCTCTCTCTCTCTCTCTCTCTCTCTCTCTCTTTTTGCTATAACATGCTAAAGTAGTTCACATCTCACATATATAGATCAAACTGCTCACATGACTGGAATACAGCCATCATTATTCTTATTTTTTAAAAGAGGAGAAAGAACAATCCAGTAACTCATTGTCCAATTAGTCTACTATTAGTCAGCTCTAAATAGAAACACCAAGCCTGGATGGAATGCAAAACCATCCTGGCCAACAAACAAGTTAGTTTCAGAACAGGCAGGGACAGTGACTTCCATAATATAAATGTTTTTGAGCATCGTATTTTATTGTAGTGTTTTCAGGTAAAAGTTGGACTGGAATGGACTGGAATGGGCATTTCTAATATAAACTGATGCCAATAATAAATACATTAGAAAAGTATTTTAGATTTCAAATTCAATAAATATCACTCTTTCATCAAGCCAGAACAGAACACAATAGCTCAAAATGGCAACTTCCCATAGATAACCCAACCATATCCATGACACACATGTGATTAGATGAGATGGATGCAGCAAGCTACAAGCCATCATCAGGAGTTAAATTCCAGTACCTGTTTCAGGCAGAAAAGCTTTATGGAAGGGAGGGGGGACACCTGACTGGCAACCTCTGAGTACAGCAGCCAAATGAAATTAATCTGACTCATTGCTCTATGAGGCAGATGCTCTCTGGAACAACATTAGTGTACCCTTTTTGGTAAGAAAATTGGTATTTAAAAAGAGAGAGAGAGCTCTGAACAGCCATTGTAGGACAAACAGAATAAAATTCAGCTGTCCCATTGCAATAGAGGGGACAGATGTAAGCAACCAGAAAACAGCCTTAACTGTCAAGTTCCACAGACTGTTCTGGACCTAAGCTCATCCTTTTGAAAAAGGCCCAAGCAAACCAACATTGAAACTGATGAAACCAACCAATTCACTAGTCACGTATGACAGAATGGGAGCAAACATCAACCCATTGACCTTCCACAGGAGCCACAGTCCACATACAGAAGCAGAGATTGTGGCTGTGTGCTTTGTGCCATCCATTCCTTGGTTTTGCCTGGGGTAGAGAAAACTGAGGGGACATACTCTATGCTGTGCCTTCGAGTTAATGCTGACCTTCAATGGCTCCTCCATCTTTTTCATGATATGTAAAATCTCTTTTTTCTGCCTTGAATAGGTACCGTAATGTTGCTCCTGGGGATGATTTATGGCTTGCTGTATAAGTCTCATCTAGTCGTACATATGTCACAAACTTGGTTGGCTTATTCAAGTTAGAAGTTGTTGTTTCTGGCTATTCCATTCTGCCCCAGTGGCATTTTAGGCAATAAAGGGTTAAATAAAACAGCAATATTTATTGGATTTGAGGTCTAAAATATTGTTCTGATGTGTGCCATCACATGCTACCATTTTTGGCATCAATTTTTCTTAAGAAGTGCCTGTTTCGGCCTGTACTGTTGTGTTCTGGCTTTTATTTAGTCCCAATGGTTTTTTTTTCTTTGCAAATCTGATTAACTGCCAATTTATGAATAACTTGTCCTAGGGTACCTTACTGTGCTTATACTCATATGCACACTTAATATTGAACCAATCATTTTTACATATAATTTAACAGGTTTGGCAAAATAGTGGATCCCTCTTTATATTTTCAAAAATATACACTTTTCCCTTCAACAACACTGGGGATAGGAGTGCTAAAGCCCCATGTAGTTAAAAATCCATGTGTAACATTTATGCCCCCCAAAAATGCAGGTAAAGGACAGAAGGGGGAAACTGAGCTGCAATCTCTCCTCTTCATCCCCTAATGGAGCAGAACACTGTTGTGACCTCCTCCAACCCTCATCAGCCTCCCAGCATTCCCCAGCACCCTCCCTGCTGCCACATAGAGCCACCAGGCCAGGAGAGGGACTGGCTGGGCCACTGCCATTGCACTGGGGTGGGGGCCACACCGCTGCCATTAGCAGGGACATTGGCAAGTCCAAGATGCATCTTTCTCGGGTCACTTCTAGGAGATGAAGAGCAACACAGTATTTATTGCATTAATTTAATTTAGTTATTGAAATGTTTGTTTATTTATTGAAAAAATCCATACATAACCAAAGGCACACAGCTCAGACCCATGCAGTTCAAGGGAGAAGTGTAATCTGGGAGGTTTACAACCATATAACTGGACAAATATATTATAAAATCACCCAACTATAAATGACTACCCTAAATAACAATAATTACTAGGCAGCAGAACAAGCAGTGGTAAAGTGACAATAAGGAGTTCTAATTATTGTTCTTTGTTTCCCCCTTCTTTCTTCTAACTCTCCCATGAATTGAAGAGGGCATCTCCAAATGCTTCTCTTAAAAAGTTCCATTTTAGGGATTCCTTAAAGTTCTAAAAGGAGGGTTCCTGGAGTTTCTTAAAAGTCCAAAGGGAGCCGTATTCCTTGTTGATGACCTACGTGCTTCTCTTGGTGTTAACACTTGCAGGAGTGAGGCTTGAGAGGACCAAGTAAGATGGGCAGCAGAACTTGGAAGATGACGTTCTGACCGGTAGCAAGGTCCCAAACTACATTCAATCAAGTATGAGATTGTGAGTACTGAAACTGGGGGGGGGGAATGGCATGGTCATAGAACTGCCACCATGGCTCTGTTGAAAGGGCTACACAGGAAAAGAGGATGATATTAGAAATCAAAAGCAACAGAGATACCTCTTCCCACAAAGAGAGAGAGAGACAGAGAGAGAGAGATGTTCACCTAAGAATGCCCGGCTGTGTGGCAGAGTTATTAATGCATGGAAGAAGGCTTGCCCCCAACATGCTTACCCTAGTATAACACTCAGCTTCTGCACCATCTATGGTATCACCAGCTTCATCCTCCTCACTGTCACTGTTTTTGCCACAGAATTGGTAATCACCTGGATAGGAAAGACACAGGGACAGTCATATATGTGAGGTGCAGTTGGGAAGAGGGTATAGTGCCAAGTGCTTTCCATTCTAAAGGTATCAGATTTAACTGTTCTTACTAGTGATTAAAAGGCTGTTAGTGAAAAGAAAATTCTTAGTGAAAAATTGAAAAAAGACCTCGGCCAGAGACTTTAAACTACTGCTGCTTGATATACACTCCTAAAATCAATATACAGCAGCTTCATGAAGCACATAATCTCTTTCCAGATTATTGCTGTTATGCCCTATTCGAGAAGAGGTTACCCACCTATAATTGTAGTTCTTCGAGTGGACCTCTGTGATTCACACCCTGGATGATCCGCGCCTACACAGAGCCTCATCGGAAAGTTCTAGAGCTTCTGCAGTAACAAAAAACACATTAGAATAAGCACCCCCTTATATAAGTATCTTGGTGCCAAGGCTTCCCTTTCAGTTGTGTCAACCACCGCTACACTAAGCAAAATGGTGTGACAGTGGGGAGGATGGGCAGGATGTGTGAATCACAGAGGTCCACTCAAAGAACTACAATTACAGGTGGGTAACCTGTTGTTCTTCGTGGCCTCTGTGAATCATACCTTGGGTGACTGCAAAGCTGACTTGAAAGATTTGAGTTTGTTCCATTTATATAAGTAAGCCTTCTTAGTGGAGGGCTTCTTTGCTTGATGGAGAATGTCCATTAGCAAGGTGGAACCCTCCACACTGCCAGGTGCAGAAGAGGTAAGTCTGGGTGGAGTACTTGGGCGTTGTTCTGTGTAAGTAGGTGGGGCAGGCAAGGGAGGTGATGAATATCTGCTGAGAGATTGTGAAGGACTGGAAACCAGTGTTGTCTCGGCCACCAAGGAGCTATAACGATGGCATCAGTTTTGTCCTGTTGTAGGCAAAATATGACTTTGTGGAGGAGTGGGAATGGTGGAAAAAAATAAGTGAGGGTCTTTGGCCATCGCCTGATGAATGCATCTCTTTGGGAGTGTTTACCAATGCCGGCTCAGGAGCAGTATCATTTTGCACTTCCGATTTACACAGGAGGTGAAAAGATCAAGAGTTGGTTTGCTCCATCATTCACACAGGTGAAGAAAAAATGATTGGAGAGCTTGAGAATTCTTGCAGCTGAGTAGATCCGCCAAGCCGTTGTCGTGGCCGGCAATGTGTAAAGCCCTGAGGCAGATATGATGTGCCAGGAACCACTCCAGAGTTGACTGCTAAATAGAGGAGACTTGGAGAGTGGGTGCCGCCTTGTTTCAGGATGTAGTACATTGTCGTGGTGTTGTCTGTAGCAATTTGCACCATCTTGCCAGCGAGAAGATTTCTGAAAGCTTTGCAAGCTTTTATAACCGCCAATAGCCTAATTCGTTGATGTGGAGCAATTTTTCTCTGGAAGACCACTTGGCGTGGCTTTTGAGGGATTTGTAGTGAGCTCCCCAGCCTGTGAGGCTAGCATTCGTGGTCACCTGTATTTGTGGTCGTGGCTGTCGGAACAGTTGTCTGATGGATGGGTTGGAAGGAAAATGCCACCACTGAAGTCGGGAGGCGAGTTCTGGAGTGACCCTTAAAAGAGTGTGAAGAGAGTCTGTGAGTGGGTCGAAGAGGGTGAGAAACCAAGACTGAAGAGATCTCATCTTGAGTTGTACATGCTGCACTACTGACGTTATAGAGGCCCTGGTGCCTAGTACATGTTATACGGTTAAGTCAGGTACCAATGCATGAGGGGCGAAAACTTGAAGTAAGGTGATTAAATGTACTCTTTTGTCTGAAGGAAGAAAGTCGAAAGCCTGTGTGAAGTCTATGTGTGCGCCTAGATAATGAATAATCTTTGATTTTTGTTCATTGTCAGCAAGACCGAGATCGCAAAGAAGAGTAAGGGTGAAGTCAGTGTGTCACTGGGCCTTGCGACGGGAGTGAGCTACGAGGAGCCAATCATTGATATATGGAAATATGATAATTTTTTGCAATCTGTGGTAAGTGACTACTGGTGCCATGCACTTGGTGAACACTCTTGGAGCTGTTACAAGGCCAAAAGGAAGCCTCTTGAATTGGTAGGCTTGTGATCCTAGTTGAAACTGAAGGAATTTCCTGTGTGAAGGGTGTATGGAAATATGGAAGTATGCATCTTTGAGATCTATGACAGTGAACCAGTCATTTTGCAGAGTAGCGGGAGAACTGATTTGAGAGTAACCATACAAAATTTTGTGGTAATGATATATTTGTTCAACTCTTGTAGGTCTAAGTTTGGGCGAAGACCACCGTTCTTTTGGGGCACATGAAATAGAGAGAGAAAAACCCTCTGTTGTGTTGTGAGATGAGTTGTATGGGATCCTTGAAGAGTAAATTTCTTATTTCCTCTTGCAGGGTTGGAGATGGTGGAGTGATGGTGTGTGTTGCCAGAGGAAGTTGGAAGAAATGGATGCGATAGCCATCTTGGGTAATGGACAGTACCGAGGCATCTGTACTGATGGATTCCCAGACAGATAGGTGTTTCCAGAGGGAAGGATGGGTGGAATTTTGTGCAATCTCAGTCATGGGAGCGTCAAACGTGATGTTTGGGTTTGCGGTCGTTGCGCCTAGTAATGGGCTGTTGATGGGGTTTATTTCTTTGATTTCTGAGGTAGGGTGTATAGGACATTTGTTTTGGAGGATCATGTTGGAATTTTTGATAGGAGTTGTACATTCATCTCCATTGATTTTGTTGCAGGTGTTGTTGGTAAGTTGGATAAACTCCCCAACTGCTGATCTTTTCTTTTGTACGTTTCCCAAAATATCATCAGTTTCAGCAATTAAAGAGGCCTGTCCCATTGAATGGAAGGTCTTTGATACATGCATGCTCTCCTTAGCCAAGAGAAACGTCATAAGGCTACTGAAGTGGCCATGAACTTTGCTGTGGTGTCTATCGTTTGTCTAGCACAAAGGATCTGTTGTCTGGCAACAAAAAGACCTTCTTGTTGAAAGGTTTGGGTGAGTACTTTTTTATCTTCTGGTAGAGATTCGACAAAAGTTGACATATTGTCCCAAAAGAAATATTGATATACACCCATGGCTCCCTGGTAGTTAGCGACACGCATGGCGAATGCTGCTGATGAATAAAGTAATCCTCCCATTGAGTCGCCTTTTCTACTGTCTATTTGGTGGTATGAGGGTCTGCCAATGTTGAGACCTGGATTGTGAGGCTTCAACAAAAAACAGAATTTGGAGCTGGTTGTTTTTGAAGCAATAACTCATTAACTCTGCAAAGTTTATCGATTCATTTAGACATGGTATGGGAAGAGGCTGGTTTTGTCCAGGATCGTTGAGTGGTGCTAAGTAGAGATGGAAGCACTGATATGTGTATTAGAGTAGTTGTATCTTTAGAAATTGGGTTGTATAGATGATCGGTGATGGTGGGTCAGCATTGAAAAGATTGGATTCCGGTGAGGTAAGTAATATTGATGACATCTGAGGTCTGGATCCGTGATTGGAATAATCGAGGTTGTGTTGGGAGTCGACGGATTGTCGATCAACTTCGGTGTTGATAGGTTGAACGTCATAGTATTGACAATTGTGACCGGATATCAATGGAGGTGGCATGTCCATGGGCATTTGTTGGTGTTGAGGATTTTTGATATCGAAAGATGTCATCCAAGTGTCCACGGACACGTCTGTGTCAAACTCAGTGTCATAATGATGTCGAGTTTGATGGCTTGGTTCTATCGTGCGGATGTTGAGTTTGATGGCTTGGTTCTATCGTGCAACGGACATTGTGTGTCGACAGAAGGACAGAGCGAGTGTCCATGGACCAGGATGGATTTTGAGGATCATCAATATCAGAGCCTGTGTCTCGGTGATGGAGGTTGTTGATGAGTTGGTAAAGTAATGGAATATATAGACATTGGAGATGCCAAACGAGAGGAATGGTCTTCCTCATCTGGATCAGCAGGAAAATAGCGGGAGACTGGAGCTGCAAAAGCCTCACGTGTACAAGAATGTTGCTCAACCATTCTGGGTCTTTTAGGTGCCAGGTAGGGAGCAGGATGAAGTCCATGTGGGTCATGGTGACATGGCCGTTTTGACACTGATGGTTGTCGAGATTGAAGCCTGCCATGGGAAGGCATGACCAAACTGGATAGAGCAACTGTCTAATTGGCAGTTGCGGTTTGCCTGGTCAAGCACTGGCACCCCAGTGAGAGTGCTGAACCATGTGTGATGGAATAGATGGCTCCAGGGACTGTTGGGGCCAGTGTCTCCGAGGAGGTTGCGGTGGACGATCAGATGTCACTGAATAAGGTATGGTCTCTAGTTGTTGTTTGGAGTCGACCCTGACAGGTGAAGCAACTATGGAAGGGTTGCTTGAAAGAACAGAATGTTGAGCATTGGGAGGAGAAGATATTAATCAATTGACTCTGTCATCCCATTCCAGTGATTGAGAGCAGGGTTGATAAGAGGGGATTCTGTCATCGTCAGAAGGCGAGCCAACAGAGATTGATACGCACGTTTGTTGAGGCTGTTGAGAAATGATTGCAGATTTAGATTTATGTTGTTTAGGTCGTTTTGGTGGAGGAGGCTTTGGAACCAAAGAGGCTTTGCTGGACATTTGGTGTTTAGTGGAGGGCTTTGATATCAAAGATTTTGGTATTTTGTGCTTCGACTTATGGGTTTTGGAAGTTTTAGATGAAGTGGATGGAGTGTCGGAGTAGGATGGTGTGGTCGATGGATGTTGTTTTGAGGCTTCGGAAAGAGCCTTTTCCATCGCTTTGGTTTGAGAGATGGCCTTACAAGTTTGGGCCATTTTGGTTGGTTGAAGGGATTGTTCCCAAAGACAGAGTTTTAACCTCAATAGGTGAGAATGGAGAACTCCGTGTAGCGAGCGCACTGAAGCCTCTATATTATCTCAGGCCTCCAGGAGGTGCTCACTCTTCTACTCAGTTGCTGCCACCAATATTTCAGTTTCAATACTAATTATTCAGTGAGACGTGTTGCTTTAAAACTTAAACTTGTTTATTTG